GTAAGCAGGTGGCCCCAGGCTGGGGGAATGTTGTTAAGTTGCATGATTATACCAAGTGATACATATCACTGTTGGCCACAGTATGCATACATTGAGGGACATAGGGGCTGGGTATCACCAGGTGATGACAGGGCATGCTGAATGACACACAGTCACCCACCACTTTGCAGCATCTCCTTCATTCATTGGGAGGGAGGGCTGTGCCTGCAGAGCCCCCAGCGCAGCATAGCTGTGCAGGGGCAGCTCCTGGCTGGCAAGCTTCTGCAGGCCTCCACGAGAGGGCTTTGCTGCACAAGGAAAGGAGGAGGTTGGCTGCTTACAGCCTGCTTCCAGACTGGCAGCTCCTTTGCTACAGCTCAAAGCGAGCAGCAGGCAGCAGGAGGATGTTGGCACTGTGCTGCACCTGAAGGAGTTGCTTGGAAGGGAGGATGACCTCTCCTAGGTGAATTTGGCCTTTTCTTCTCCTGGAGCAGATGCTGAGGCTCCGAGGGATGGCTGTCAGGGTCCCAGAGTTCTGTGGTGGCAGCTGGATGGATGCACCCTGCTCCCAGGCACGAGGCTAAGCACCCTGGAGATGCATCTGCTGCCGTTCTCCCAGAGGAAAGGGAAAAGGAGGAAGAAGGATGTGCGAGCCACGTGTCCATCTGTCAGTCCATTCTTCCCCGGAACATGGCTCTATGCCAAGACCTCGGGTCAGGCACAGCCCTGGAGCCAGCAGGGTTGGGCACGTGTTGGGTTCACAGCGCTGTCCTGGTTAAAATAAACAGGAGAAGGCGGCCCGCTCAAAGGGCAGAGCGGATCTGCCACCCACTCTTGTCAGAGCACACTGGGGATTTCTGTCCCCTGTTGCTCTCACAGCCACTTCCTCCTGCGTGCTGCTGACAAAACCCCAGCCGGGGCCCAGCCTGGTGAGGGTTGGAGGCCCTGCTGTGTGCTTGGGGACAGAGGCACAGCACCGGGGGCTCCGCACCGCTCCCCTCCTTCCTGCCCTCCCACCCTTCCTGCCTCTCCCAGCCACTCTCCGTGTCCTTCCTGCCTGTCCTCTGTCCCATCCGCTCCTCTGCTTCCCCCCTCATTCCCTTTCCCCTCCTGCAGGTGGTTCCCAGTGAGCTCTGTGCCCTCAGTGCCAGGAAAAGCAGTGGGGGAGCATCTCCCAGGGAGTCACGCTTCTTCCTGTGCCTGCATGTGCAGAGCTCAGCTTGGGGCTGGATGTGCCTTGACCCGTCCTGGGCTGCCGTTGAGCCCCAGGGCCACGAGCTGAAGTTGGAGATGAGGAACAGGAGGAGGAGGAGAAGGGCCTTTTCCTAGGAAGAGGCACAGAGCAAGGGAACAGGACATGGGGTGACACACCTGAGCATCCTGCATCCCATGTGTGGCCGGCCCTGGCTCTCCAAACCAACACACTGCTCAGCTGGGAGCCAGAGGGAGCTTTCCCCAGCAGCTCTGTGTTTCATTACTGCTCACACCGGGCAGCCCTCACCCAGCCAGGGGGGCCTGCAGGGTTTTCACATCAGCAGCAGCAAACAGAAGGAAGCTGTTAGTATTCATCCTCTACCCCTGCCTCAGGGACCCCAGCCGGCCTGGATTCTCCCTTCTCCATCCACCTGGCAGCCCCCCTCCGTGCTGTGCCCCCCATTCCCCAGCTGGGAGAGGCCCCAGCAGCGCAGCCCCGAGGCGCTGGCCTCTCTCCCGGCCTCCCTCCTCCTCCCTCCCTCCTTCCCAGCAGCTCCCAGATTCCTGAGTGCTGACACAGCCCCGCAGGATGCTGCAGCCCACAGCCTGCCCCCTCCTCCCCTCCCCTGGAGGGATGGACGAGGGCTGGGACGGGATGCACCGGGATGGAACACTCGTGGGGGACACCGGATAGGACCCTCGGGAGCCACCTCTACCCTCGTCCCCTCTCAGAGGGCTGAGCCATCCTAGGACGTGTGGGTTCAGCCCTTTTATTTGAGCCCTGGGGTCCGCATCCAAGCCCAAAGCAGCCCCCTCAACTCCAGACCACATCGAGGAGTGGTTCCCCAACAGCCTCACTGCTGTTCCAGGAGGTGAGGACCTGCCATCTTGCCATTAGATCACATCCGTCCGGGCCCTGTGCTTCCATAGGAGTTACCCTCTCTTCCGAGTGATGGAAGGTTTTATTTTTATCTGGCTTATTTTTGCACTCCTTCCATCAGCAACACTGGCACGGAGATGCGTTTGGGCTGCCAGCCCCTCCCCAGCCTACGGCTCTGTCCTTTCCCACCCCATCGACCTCACTTCTGAACGCAGCACCGTGGGAAGGGAAACTCCGAGGACCCAAGCAGTGGAACAGAAGGAGGACGGCCCCTGCTTATGTCAATGTTATTACAGGCACAAGAAAAGACCGCCGGAAAGGAGGAGGAAAGGCAGACCCTGGGACCCCCGAGCACCTCCTGAGAACAGCAGGCTGCTCCAGCTCCCCCGGAGAGCTTTCCTAAGCCCTGCTGCCAGTTATGCAAACTATCTCCGGAACAATTGGGGCACGGCAGGGAGCTGCTGCCTCCCTTCCCTGCGGCCAGCGGGGTCACCGCAGCCCTGGGAGCGGCCGGCTGCTCCTCGCCGGTGCCCCCCCAACCTCCCCCCACCCAGCTGCCGGCATTGAGCTGCGGGGTTTAACCCTTTAAATCCGAGGGTGCTGCTTCTCCGGCCCCATTGCAAGCACGTGGCTGCGGTACGACAGCGGGGACGGCTTCAGCAGCCCACGGAGCCAGCTTGGGTCCTTCGGGGACACGGCGTGTCAGCTGATAAGCGAGAAGCCGGAGCTCGGCGGAGGTCACCCAGCCGGGAGGAGCCGCAGCAGCGTGGCATTTGCCAGCAGTCCGGCTGTTGCACAACGCCCGTGGAAGGTGGAGCGGTCCCGAAGTACCTCCTTCTCCCCGACACCAAGCACAGTTTTTAAGAGAAATAACAGCATTTGCCTCCTGTTGCCCAGCTTTCCCATCTCGACGTTTGGACTGCAGCTCCCAGGGCGCACACCAGGCTGCTCGCAAGAGCCCTCAGTGGGAGAGTTCGTTAATTAGGAGCAGAGGAGCCCCTGGGGAATCTCCCAGCGAGAAGCAGAAAAAAAAAAATTCCCCCACAATTCAATCTAATTACAACGCCCTGGGGCGCTCCGCAGTGGCTGTGAAGCACAGGCCAAGCTTTCCTCCCCACCCATGCGAGCAGGAACTTTAACCCAGTTCCAACCGATAGTAGAAAGGGAAAAAAAAAAAAAAGCCTCAATGCTCATCGTAACCGCTCCACAAGTTAACAGCAAACAGGAGGCACGGAGAACGACCGCTGGCAGCAGAACAAGCAGCCCTGAGCACAGCCTATGCCTGGCAGCACCAGCTCACACGCCCCAAGCACAGGACTTTGAGCCACAGCCATCGAGCGGGTTGGCACACCGGGTCCTGAGCAGGACCCCAACGTAACCCCTTTCCTTCCCCACCCAATGCGATGTGGGGTGCCTGGCTGCCATCCCCCAGCCCTCCCCTGACCCACAGACACAGACTCTGCTCCTACAGTTGAAAATATTTAATACGTGTCACACACGTAGCATTACATTTTATACAAAACGAGATACATCACCGAAGAGAACACTGTACAAACCCCCCCCATCCCACCCCTCCCAACGGGAACCCCAAGCCTTTATACAACAAAGACCGGGGATCCCCGAGCCTAACAACCAGGCTCACGAGGACTTTCCGTCGGAGCGTCTGTAAACTTCTGTTTCTCTCAAATAAACACTTTTTAAAAGCACCGTGTAACAGTTCTAACCTAAACCTTTCCAAAATAAACACTTTATTTAATAAATTTAATACTTTCCAAGCTTAAAATATCCCCGCTGGGAGCGCCCCGGGCGGGGGACGGCCGGGAAGGGGAATTCCGGGCGGGTCGGGTCGGGCCGCTCCCAGGGCGGCTGCCGACGGTCGGGGCCCGGCGAAGGGGAAGTGCTGCTGCCCGCTGTTCTTCCGTGCGGGGCCGGGGGGAGGAAGGAGCAGGAGGAGGAGGAGGAGGGGGGCAGCTCCGGGTCTGTCCGTGCCCCTCCTCGCGGTACGCGGTCCGACGCGTCAGAAGGCCACGATGGCCGTGCTCCAGGGGTTGAGGGTCCGCAGCACGCGTTGGTCGCAACAGATCTGCCCCGGCTCCGCGGTCGATTCCTCGCTGCCGTCGAGGCTCGGCCGCCGGCGGCCCTGGGGCTCCTTGCTGAGCAGTCCCGAGAAGCTGGAGCCGAAGATGCTGATGAGGCTGGCCACGTTGCCCGTCTCCATGTCCTCCTGCTCGCCCTGCGGGGGCGGCGACTCCTCCACCTCTCGGCGCGGCTTCTTCAGCGGCGAGCCCTGCTGTTCCATCTCCGCGGCGCTCCGCTTCCGGGGGCAAAGCGGGGGCACAGCGCAGCGCCGCGCCTCGCCGGTCCCCTCAGCGCCCGCCCCGCAGCGACAGCCGCCCCACGAGCAGCAGCGTTGGGAGCCCCTGCAGTCCGCGTCGGGCAGCCGCTGGTCGAACCTCGGCGCCTCCGGCTCTGCGGGCGCCCACGCGGCGGGACTCGGAGGAGAGGGCTCTGCGGGCGGCCCGCAGGCGGCGGGAGGCGGCTCGGGAGGGCAGCCCGGCTCGCTCAGGTAGACCTGGCGGGCGCTGCGCAGCACCAGCGACACCAGGAGGTTCTTGTGGAGCTTCAAGCCGCCGCGCTGGCCCCGCGCGCTGTAAATCTTGCCCAGCGAGATGCTGACGATGCGGTGCGCTTCCAGCTTGAACTCCATGGGTGGGCCGCCGACGGTTGCGTGAAGCGGGGGGGTGAGCTCGGGCCGCGCCGCTCCGCCTCGCTCCGCTGCCGTCGTTACGGACGCGCGCTCCGCTTGCTCTCGCCGCCGACTGAGCGGTGCCCACGCGCCACGCCTCGCTTTATACCGCCCCCGTGCCGGCCAATCAGAGCGCTCCGCCGGCCGCTCCAACCGCCGGCGCGCCGACCAATGGCGAGCCGGGGGAGCGCGTTCGAACGCTCGCCCCGCGGAGAGAGCCCTTAAAGCGGCAACGGCGGCGCGCGGCTGGTGGGGCCCACGTAGAGTGGAAGGCAAGCGGGGATAATGTGGTGTCTTCTTCGGCTACTAGTTTTTGTCAAAACAGCACTTTGCGAAGCATTCCTCCCGCGGCTCCACGCTTTCCATCGTACAGCACGCAAGGGGCAGTTGTTTTTGATGTTGGTTTTTTTTTTTATTTTATTTTTATTGGGGTTGGATTTACTTTTTCCAGGTCGTGAATTTGGATTTGATTGATTTTCTGGAGGGAAAAAAAAATAAAAAAGCAAGAACGATTCTTGCCTCTTTCTCCCCCCATCCAAGCTCCAGGAAGCGGCAACCACCTCCATTGGGGGCAACACGGCAAGGACAGAAGTGAAAGGACAGACCAGCATGAAGGAAGTGGAACCCCAAGTATCGCTTTCTGTCTGCTGGCTTCCTGTCTGCCATGTGACGCACACTGCCTTCCCACTCCTCGCCTTCTCACCCAAAACAAGAGCCACAGTTGGTGCTGAGGAACAGGATGTGAGGTGCAGGGGCTGCCCGTCTCCATCAGGCCTCAAGCATGCTGCCTGCTGTCAAAAGGACCCACCAGGGACCCCTGGTCTTGTCAGAAGGCTTCAGACCTGGGACAGGTCTGGTGATTTCCCCTGCTGCTGATGCAGTCTTCTGGAGGTGGAAAAGGGAACATCTGGGCACCACAGAAGGCAAAAGGAGCAATTACAGGGCGAAAAAATGGACATCGTTGCTTTGCTGGGGTGGGGAAAAAAAAAAAAAAAAAAAAGGAGGACTTTTACACTCTGTAGGAGTTTCTCTGCTACTTCATCGTGCCCTATGTCAGCCCAAGATGCAGGTGGCACAACAGAAGCCTTCCTCCCCAGGAACCCCAAGCCCAGCACATTTTCCTCCTGCTGCAAACCCCCAAGGAATGCTCTCCAAACGCAGTGCACAGTGCACCAGCCTCTGGGCTGCGGAGAACACCCCGGGGCAGAGCAGGGCTTTCCCTCCCACCCTTCTGATGGGAACCAAGCACTGCTGTCCTCAGCGTTCCCAACCTGCCCAACCTGCTCCGTGCTCAGGGCCAGCCCTCTGCTCAGCCCGACCAGCCGGGGCAGCTCTTTCGGACCGCAGTGGCAGCTCCTCACCCGCGGTTGTGTGACCATCCGCATGTGAAAACAACGGGGATTCTTTGTGGGTGCTGCGGGACTCCTTGCTGGCAGGGACAGGGCTCCTTTGTGTTCAGCAGATGACCCCAGTGAGAATAAATCATGCCTTGCACATCTCATCTGATGCCATCTGCCTGAGTCGATACAGAGCAGCGGTGCGGAGCCCGGGGAAAGCTCAGCATGGGCGGGCGCGGCACAGCACGGGCGCTCTGCTGAGTAAAGATGAGTGCACGCAGGCTGACCAACCTGTTCTGCCGCTCTGCCTCATCCCAATGACACGAGACTTTCCCACCAGCCAACACAACCTGCCTGCCGGCTCCCCAAGGGCCGTGGGATGCAGGGACAGCCACACAGCCAGCACCAAAACGTGGTCCTCCGTCCTCAGCAGTACCCACAGAGGGGACAGCTGTGCAGAGGGCAAGCACGCGTGCCAGGCGGAATAGCTACAGCTGAATACACCCGGACGCTGTTTCCTCCCACAAACATGCGTGACCCCCAGAGCTCTGAACACAGAAGCAGGGCTGCGGGTGGCTGCTTGCCCAGAGGGGAGCACGCAGCAGAAAGGCCGGCCCAGCTCAGCCCTTTTAAGCCGGGCGGTATTTTGGTGGCAGCCCTGCTTTTCCCTCCCAGGCTGATGTCATGCCTTAGTAAGTTTGAGGCAGCGTCACATGGCAGCTTCTGAGGTCAGCGCTCGCCTGGGGTGGCTTTGTTGTCTGTCTGTCTGCGCCTGTCTGCCTGTTGGGCCGCTGCTTCGCCCGTTCCCACGCGGGGAGCTGCCGCGTCCCCGTGTGTGCGCCCAGCCGAGGGGCACTGCCCCGTCCCCGGCAGCAGACGGGCGGGCAGGGTGCGACCAGGCGCTCCTCTCTCCGCGTGCGATGTCGGCAGGCTGGCAGCGAGCTGACAAACAATTCGCAACCCTCCGGCTCAGCTGCCGTTTCCCGAAATAGCGGGGGCAGGGGGAGGGCCGGCAGACAAAGGTGGCTCTGAGCGAGCAGGAAGCCCGGGGGGCCGAGCGGCGGGGAGCCCGCAGCCCCACCTGGAAAGGAAAACAATGCGAGATAAAAGAGGCTCGGGACAGGAAGCAGCTTGCGGTACAATATAATAATCGCAGAGGCTGCGCACACGGCTGCTTTTTTATAGGCGTTTCAATCAGCTCCGGGAAGTTCGCTTGGGGGCTGGCGCTGCTGCCTCGTGGCACGGGCTGCCCACGGCCCCGTGGCTGCCTCCGTCGGAGATGTCACCTCTCCGTCTGCCTCCCTCGCGCTGTCGGAAGCAGCGAGGGCGAAGGTCCCTTTGTCACTTCCCGGCAGCGCCTAGGGTCCCCCTGCCATCAGAGCCGGGCTGGGCCGGGCCATCTGGCACGCAGCGCGGCCCCCGACCTGTCGCCGAGTGCGGATGTGGTTACCCAGATCCTGTTCCACGCTGGCGCCGACCCTCCGGCAGCCGGCCCTGCGGCTTGTCGCCAAATGTGAGCCGGGCTGGGGGGCCAGCTGCACTGAAGGAATGGGGAGCGCTCCCGGAGAGATCCGGCTGTCCTCCAAGCGTGAGATCTGCCCGTTCGCCCCTTCTGGAGCCTTCCCGGTGCATCATCGCCCTTCTCTTGGTTCGGGGGTTGGGCTCCTCCTGGGATGCAGATGTCCACACCAGCAGCGGGGTAGCCTTCGTACTGAGCCTCCCCAGGTGAAAATGGACCTGCAGGACACCTTCAGGCTCCACTGATGAAGCAAACATTTCCAAAAAGGGATTCATTTTGTAGACGGAGATAACAGATATCAAATGCTGAGCCATTCAGAATGCTCACCATCGTTTGGGGTTGATTCTTCCCCCCTAGAAAAATCAACAATTGACACAGATGCAGTCTCAGCCTCCCGCAGTTTGGTATGAGCAGGTAATCTTCCGTGGTTCCTAACTGCTCTGGGTTATCTGTGTTTGAAGATAAGGTCAGAGAGCTCGGAAACATCCCAAAACTTTAACCACTCAGCATTGCTGGGTGACAACCAAACACAACATGTAAGCAAAACAAAGAAATCAACACAGACCTAAAGCTGAAGGAGGGGAAGTGGCTCCCCCAGCTTCTGAGAGTGCTCTGTACCTGCACTGGAAACCACAGCATCGTGTTCACACAGCACAACACCGTCCTAGAAAGCAAAGGGGATTTTCCAGAGTTAAAACCCCTCTTCCATGAGAGTAGATCATAGAATCATATACAGGCTTAGGTTGGAAGGGACTTTAAAGATTAGTGAGTCCCAATCCTGCCGTGGGCTGGCTGCTCCCCACCAGTTGGGCTGCTCAGGGCTCCATCCGTGACCTTGGGCACCTCCAAGGATGGGGCACCTACAGCTCCTCTGAGTGTGGACAAGGGTGTAGATGCCCCAGCCTTGTCTATCCTTCCCCAGACAGGCAACACTACTCTCTACACATCTTTTCTTTCACCAGTGACCAGGGATTTCCCCTTACCCTGCTGCACCAATGATTTAATGTTTCCCTTCCCTTCCTCTGAGCCGGTGACTTGGGATTTCCCCCTCCTCTCCTGGACACCCACGGCCCAGACCCTTTGCCCATCACAAGATCCTGCTATCCCTCCAGCAACCTCTCCCACACCCAGCTATCAGCTTCTTCAGGCAGCTATTTCCCTTGGAAAAACGTGGCCCCGCAGCTTTCAGTGTTTTATGAAATTGGCTTTGGTTTCCTGGGGAAAGAACACATTTATTTGTCCAGGGTTTCCTATCAGACAACCCTTCTATTGTAGTCCACCTTCCTGTATTTTTTCCCTCTCTGATACACTTGCAGCAGGCCCTGTGCTGTTTCCAAAGAAGGACCATGTCCATAGCTCTCTCCAAACCCAGTCGTGCAGATGGAACTGCCTGGTGTCCAGGGGAAACCCAGGACAGCACTGGGCTGCTGCTCATGTGCTGCCCACTGGGCTATTTGCTCCATGCCCTGAGGGATGCACTCACTCTGTGCCAAACAGAAGGAGCCTGGGTTCACCTGCAGCCCAGCACAGGGTTAAATCCACGCATCAGTTGGGTGAGCTCCGCACAGAGCCAGCCGAAACCACAGCCCGGCAGACTGTGGGGTAGGCTGCCTGCCCAAAGGAGTCACAGTCTAATTATTTTCTCTCCCTGCATCTCAAAGTCACCTTCCTTTTAGCTGGCAGGCAACATCACGGATCACAGATGTGTCCTCTGTCCCACAGCTTCCCGTTGGAGCGCGACGGGATGGCAATGACACTTGTGTCACTCTGCCATGCTCCAAGCTAACAGCGAGGGACCGCATCCTCACATCCTCAGAGCAACCAAGGGCAGAGCAGGTCACAGAATCATAAAATCGTGGTGTTGTAGAATCACAGAGAATGGTTGGGTTCAAAGGGACCTCAAAGCCCACCCAGTCCCAGCCCCTGCCATGGGCTGGTTGCTCCTCACCAGATCAGCCCCATTCAGCCCAGGGTCCTCTCAGTGCTGAATCCCTCTTTTCAAAATGAAGAGAAAGTGCAAAATAAAACGTCTGTGCCCCTTTCCTCTTCTAAGGACCTACCTTTGCCACCTTGGCCTGTGTTGCAGGGCTGATTGTGTGACAAGGAGCCTGGGTACAAAAGCCACCCGTGGACACAGGGATAATGAGGAATTGTGATGGGGTGAGGTGGCCAGAGAAAGTTCCTTTTAATTAATGCCTGGAATGGATTCTCTGGCCATGCACGTGGGTGCCCCAGACCTCCTCTTTGACCCACCACAACAGTGCAGCTCCCACTATCCACTCCATAGGTGGGGCCAGCCTGTCACCAATTCATTAAGTAACGAGGATTCTCTCCAAACCAGCACCTCGTTACACAGGTAAATAATCACTTTTTAGCTGTAGGTAAGCCCTGAGCGTGGCTAGCATCTTACAGCCTTGGTGCTGTCTGCCCCTTTCTCACTTCTCATTTAAGTCACCACAGGTTTTTAAAAACGAGGCTCACAAAACCTATTTACAAACCACGATGTAAGCCCTTGCTGCCCACCACAGCGCTGACTGTTTAGCCACAGACTGATGTTTTCCATCCAGTTATCACTGGCTTAACCCTCCTCTCACAACCACCATTGAGAAATCTTCAACAACTTTTACTAAAAAATGCAAAGGAGGAGAAGAAAAAAAAAAAAAAAAACACAACACAAAAACATATAGAAGCATCTGAAACCCATTTGTGCTTTATTGAGCTGTAAAACCTTGTCTGGGTGGAAAAAAAAACAAAACCACCAACAAAACCAATCTCTATTTTTGCAAATTCAAACTCAAACCAACGTAGCTTTTCCCCCAGAAGAAAAGACATCTCTCGTATGTCAGATACACCTTTTTAGCAGCAGGCTGCCAGCTAGCATGGGATCACACACAGCCCTGTGCATGTACGTACATGCCACAGGAATTCTCTTGATAAAGCACTCAGTGAGCCCTGTGCTTTCTTGCAGTTTGGATTGTGATGAGCTGGAGCTTCCCAGCACTGTGTTTCATCACATCCCCCCTGGCCAGTTCTGCAGCTGGCTGCCACTCGCCTGGCCCTTCCAAGCCAAAAAATCTGAGCTTGACAACAAGATGAGCCCACTCTGAAACAACAGCAGCTCAATCTGAGTGGTTTTCATGCAAAAAAAAAAAAAAAAAAAAAAAAAAGTTCATCATTTCCAGCATCAAAGAAAAGCTTGCCTTTTTTCTTCCTGTGAAGTTCACACCTTCCCTATGATTAGCCCAGCATACAGCTACCTCATGCTGCGCTGCGCCCAAGCTGTGGTTTCTCAGGCATGGGGATGGCTGGAGCAGCAGGCAGCTGTCTTTCCTCACCCCACAGCCCCATAAACCAGTCCGACCCCATAAACCAGTCCTCACCCCTCTCTCGTGAGTAAGCGTGCTGCGATTGCAAAAGCCACTCACCTGGTTCCCATGCTGAGGAGGCACCTCTGCTAATGGGTTTTTCATAAGCAAGGCAGCATCGCCTTGGCTAGGGGAGGCTGGGCCGCAGCTTTGTGAGGGAAGTGCAGGTAGGGGCAACAGCCTTTGGTCAGCAGATAGAGGATGTGGGGTTATCATCCTGGGCACGGAGCTGTGCGATGGGGGGCGGCTGAGGGAACGGCACGGGGCAGCGCGGAGGAGCTGAGGGGAGACCTCGCTGCTCTGCAGCTCCTAAAGGGAGGCTGCGCTGAGGTGGGTCAGCTCTGCTCCCGGTAACGGCGATAGGATGGGACGTGGTGGCATCACGTTGTGTCTCCAACCGAAGTGCTTGGGTGTTACAGAGCCGTGGAAACGAGGCAGTGAGCGACACAAACAGCGAGCACTGTGCGGCTGCTAGCTGGGCTACACCAGCCCAGCCGGTGGCTGCGCTGAGGGGAGGCGCTCCCTCACAGTCCCGCCGCCATGGCGGGACGGGGCGGGCGGAGGGGCGCGGGCGGCCGCGCATGCGCGCAGGGCGGAGCGCTGGGCAGCCGGGGCGACTCGGCGGCGTCGGCGCCATCATGTCGATGGAGGACCCGTTCTTCGTGGTGAAGGGGTGAGGGATGGGTTTGGGTCTGTGAGAGGAAAGGTGGGGGTCGGGGCGGCGGAAGGGTCTGTGAGGGGGGGAGGGAGAGGAGAGAGTTAGGGATGCGGGGGTGGGGGAAGGCGGTTGTGAGGAGGAGGATGA